GTCTCAAGCCCAAATCACTGGGCCATCCCTCTCAAATAAATAACTTTTACATCCAAAAGGTGTTATAACAATTTAATCCTCTCATTAAGTATGCGTGTCAAGTCAAATATGAACAAATAAAAATGAATTGACCGAATAAATGAAGAAAAGAAAGCATAAATAGAATTATTATAGATAACACGTGTCAATAGATAAACAATTGCCTAGAAGCTGAAAAAACCGGACCGAGTCACCGCGTTTTTACCAAAAGAAAGAATCGTCGCCTGAGAGATTCGAACTCTCGCGGGGAAACCCCATGTACTTAGCAGGCACACGCCTTAACCACTCGGCCAAAGCGACATATTAATTACAAGACCAATTTTATAAGTAATAAAAGGTAGTTTTGGTCTATAATATAAATACTACTCTCAATTTTCAAGTATTCAAGGACGTGACGTATTGGTCAATAAACTAGTTGAGAATCATGATGTTTCACATTCAAATTCTAGCAGAACCAAAAACGTTAAGTGATCTCTTTTCATCTGTCCAATACTTGTATTACTAGTAAAACATGCAATTAACTATGAAATTTATTGTTAGTCAATAGCTAATTGGATTTTCTTATAATCGTTCTAATTCGTAGTTAAATGAGATTAGTATGGAATTTTGATTGTTTAGCTATGAAATTTTGTTTGTCGCTAATTTCTTATTTCTTATGGTGTTGTTGGACAAAGTTCTTGATGCCTATGCAGGTGAGAATTTAACATGTATCTTGTAAAATTAATCGAGGTGAGCACAAATTAATTTGGACATTATACAATCACAAAACAAAGTAATGTCAATTTTCAATTTGTAGAAATATAAATGGGGATCTTATTAGGGAAAAAAGAAGAGAGTTGTCTCTTAATTTGGAGTTTTGAACCATATTCAAAATGTAATTAATGAATGGAAGTCATGGGACAAGTTCATTGTAACGAATTCGAATTCTCAACATAAACACTCGAGTATTATATAATCACTGATAGCTAAATTACAACGACAATATTTAAATTATAATGAAAATGCTGAAATATAAACAAGTAACTAAGATGGAGATACGAATGGAGGTGGGAAGCTTAGACTCTAGAAGAAGAAGTGAGGAACATTCATTTTCTTCGTAATATGCATAAATCCTTCTTTTAAACTCATTATCCCTTTTAACCAAATGCTAATTGGGCTTAGATCCCAAATAAAACACTTTAACATTTTACTTGGCCCAATCTCATTCACTACTTTTAACCCATAGACGTTTATTGAGCTAGAACTTGGTTCACAACATTCAAAGCCATGAAGGAGAGAGCTCTCCACCAACTAGCTAAACAGATGGCTACCTTTAAGGGGTCGTTTGGTAGTGTATTAGGAAAAATAATGCATGTATTAGCCTTGTGTAGTTGTGTATTATTGGTACCTTGTTTGGTACTCTTTTTTAACCTATGTATAACTAATGCTTGCATTAGTTATACACTCTATTGTGTATTAAGGAGTGCATTGCTAATACCATGGATTTCTAGGTATTAGCAATGCAATGGTTTTTATGCATGCATTAATATGATAAAAGACCCACTTACCCCTCAAAACCTTTTTTTACATCTTTTCCACCATAAAAGTCAAGGGTATCTTTGTAAATAATTTTTTTAATGCCATACATACTATTTTTAATTCATCAAACCAAACAATGCATTAAAATAATCTACATGCATTGCTAATGCAAGCATTACGCTAATACACTCTATTTAGCATTATTCTTATACACTCTACCAAACGACCCCTAAAGGTCTTAGGTTAGAGCTCTTCTAGTGTATGAATTATTTTTTTGTAGGGCACCTCGAATGGGCTCTATGCGACATAAATTCAAATTAGTCAAATTCCATTAATATAGATATCAAACACATAATAAAAAATCAAAAATTATAAATGTTTGATGGCATATAGGAAAGTTGAGTTCTTAAACAAGTCTTGAAATCATAATGTAAGTTTGATATTAATGTCGAATTATGTCAAATTCAAAGAAATGAATACATAAAGGAAGATGACATAAAATCGAATCTGCTAAGAAAATTATATATATGTGAGCCATTTTCTTTCCCAGTATTTTCACTTATTTGAGCCATGCCTCACCCTCCATTTTCTCGGTATGCCTTTCACTCGATCTCTCACTCTGTAATTTTTCTCGAGCCTTGGTGGTGTCTGTCGTAGTATTAACCTTATTCTTGTAGTTTTTTTTATCTTGATATCTATCATCATTTGTTGTTTATTGTGTTTTGATTATTACACTGTTTTGTTGTTGTTAATGTACTTTTCCTGAATGCTCTACACTGTTTTTCTTATTAGCTGCATTGTTTTCTATCGTTTTCCCTTTTCATAACTACTTTGATTTGCTGCACTTGAGGCGAGGGTCCTTCAAAAACATTCTACCCTCTTCTGACCCCACTTATGAGATTACATCGGATATGTTCTTATTCATAACATAATATTGAGTATTATCATGAAACAAGTATAAAAGGAATAAAATAAATACTGACAATTGCTTCACCTAAGTAGAGCGAAAAGAAGGAATTGATGAAAAACCAAAAGGGGAGCTATTGATGAAGGGGAAAATCACTTATACCTCTGTTTGTCATTCTTGTTATAATTCCTATATGGATCATTGAGTTTCATTTTTCAAATACATGTTACAAGGTCTTTTCTCAAATAACGATGGTTTCAGGGTCAACTTGTGCATATCTCGAGAGTCGAGTGTTCTACTAGATACATAATACAAGTTATCTGCCTCTTCTGTTATTTATCTCCCCCCCCCACCCA